GAACACATTGGTTTTAATACCTTTTTCCGTTCGGTCTCGCTCCTTTTTGGATAATGCTAATTCCTCATTTTGTGTTTGCTACTTTGATTCATCTTCTTAATCAATTAATGAGATTTGAGTATTGATAAACTACTGTTGCCTTACTTAAGCTGCCAAGAGATTGTGCACAGACATAAATCATTCTTCTAAAGGGAAATAACATGACAAAAACATGTTTTTTGGCCTTATATCTGAAAATACGTGTATTCATAATGATCAATCAAATAACAAACTGCAAAAATCTTTGTTTGATACATATATTAGAAACTAAGGGTTCAACTCATTCAGGCAAAGTTGACCTTAGATGGAATTGGCTATTTTTAGGTCCTTTTTTTGGTAATATAGCTATTCAACTGTTTCGGTTCTTATACATCCTTGGCTTTCAAATATTCGGCTTTGAGCGTTCCTGATGAAGGTAAATGCAGAAAAGAATTTCGGCCGCACAAAATTTATAACGTGCTGTTTTCATTTTTTAAAAAGTAATTTTAATTGGACCAATGTTTTTTTTTTTGTATATCAAACTGGTATTAAACAGTAAAGTCCTTTTATGCGTCATCATTAGTAGTCATCTTTTATGTATCGGTAGGTTTAAAAAAAAATACATGTCTTTTTTTGGACTTGTGTTGGCAGATCAGTTTAATGAAGACCGTATAATGACCTCAAAAGTCTTTTTAGTGTAGTTCTTTATTCCTTATTGACTTATACATACCCAACATATCCTTTTTATCGTTTTCAGATGTTCGAAAGACATCAGTAATAATATATTAGAACTAGTTTTAAAGGACTGCAAAAATGACCTGATTATGTGAAATTATCATTAATATCTAGATATATGCACCTCTCAACAAAAAATATTTTGCCACAATATGTCTTTTACAAAAATACAGATTTGTCAAATATCTTATAGGGTTAGGCAGTTGGTCATGTTTGATTTTATCATAACATATCTGTAAAATTATCTTTTGTCAAATAGTTCTGTTACGCCATGTTTATGACTTCTTTAACATTATACTTATTTCCGACAAAAACAAGTCACGTATACAAGTATGCATTAAAACATTTCACTTAACATGCTTAACATGTTGTATATACAAATATTCCTGGAGTTCCTCGTATAAATATAAAAGTTCAGTAGCTATGTTCACAAAACAAATACGATTCCTCGTAAGTCATTTACAATTCAGTACGTAGCGATAAATTTGTGTCGTAAGGTTTGTTAAACGATTACCCCCGAACGTTGCTAAATATCATACAAAATTTAAAACAACGGTTAAAGTGATTGGCATATTTATTTTCCTTCGTTCTAAAAATCATGATCTTGTTTACAATATTTTTAATACAAGGTGGGTTAAATGTTCAAAGAACATTTTAAACTAATTTCTATTGTGCAGGTAATAGCATTTAAAATAAGATTAAGATTAACTTAATGCACCTAATGATTGTACTCACTGACCACATAATAAAACACGTATTAGTATTGTATCTTTCCTTAATATTTTACAAGTAAGTAAACGGCACGAAAAATAAAAAGTGTAACAGGATTATGATTATTTTTCTCTGACTGTTTAAATATTGCAATACAAAGGAGGTATGACAAGGTTGTTAATATTGACCTCTGCTTATAATTGTTTGATGGGAAAAAGAAACTTAACTTAGATTAGATAATACCCTCCATATGTAATTAAAAATATACATGGAACGAAATGAAATTTGATATAAGAGTTTGTTTCTTTTTTTTATGGTTTATCAATTCCTTTCACATGAATCTACTCTTTTGTCAAATATTAGTTTTGACACTTACGTTAAGTTGTTGGCGAAAAACTTGGCCGCATATTATGTAATTCCCTATTTAGTGTTGTAATAGATGCCGTAAATATGCTTTACATAGACTTATTGCGTTTTGAGAGTATATTGGTTGATCTCCTTTAAAGAAAAATTAAATACAACATATCACATTTACAAGATTCATATTAGTCAATACAATCTGACATAAAAGAAAATAGTTAAAAATAGCCTATAAGAAAATATGAAATTATCTCAATTTGTCTGATTAAATTTCAATTTTGTGGATATTTTCTCTGTCAGTCCTACTGATTTATACTGAAATTCTGTCTTCAGATCTTACTGAATAAAACTGAAATGCTGTCTTCAGAGCTCACTGAATTAAACTGAAATGCTGTCTTCAGATCTTACTGAATTAAACTAAAATGCTGTCTTCAGATCTTACAAGATTATACTGAAACTCTGTATACAGATTTTACTGATGTCTTTATATATATAAAATTCTTTCATATAGTCTTGATTTATTCTATGGAAAATTCTGTATTGTAGTATTAATGAATTCCATAGAGATTTAATGAATTCACTCTCACAGTCCTAATTGATTCTATGGAAATTCTCTATTGTAGTATAAATGAGGTTCCCTAGAGATTCTGTCTTATAGTATTAATATGATTCCATAGAGATTTTGTCCTGTAGTATTAATGGTATTTCAAAGAGTTTCTGTCTTGTAGTATATATGGATTCTCTCTCATAATGCAAATTGATTCTACGGAGATTCTGTCTTGTAGTGTTAGTGGATTCTATGAAGATTGTGTCTTGTAGTATTAAGTGGATTCTATGGAAATTGCGTTGTGTAGTATGAAAGGATTCCATGGAGATTGTGTCTCGTAGTATGAATGGATTATATGGAGAGTGTGTCTTGTAGTATAAATGAATTCTATGGAGATTGTGTCACGTAGTATTAATGGATTCCATGGAGATTGTGCCTTGTAGTATGAATGAATTCTATAGAGATTGTGTCTCGTAGTTCAAATTATTGCATGTTCTTAATAACTTTTATGGAAGTTATCTTTTGTAGTCTTACTAGAAACTGGAGTTTTTGCCTACTTGTATTCTATTGAGATTTAGTTTTGTAGAATTTGTGCATTGTATGAAGATATTGGCTTGTGGTATTAAAGGATTCTAAGGAGAACGTGTATTGCTTTATTACTGAATTATTTGGAGATTGTGTCTACTATTAATGAATACATGGAGATTGTTTTATAGTATTGATAGATTCAGGGAATTTTTGTCTCGTAGTATTAATTGATTGCATAAAAATTCTGTCCTATAGTATCCATGGTTTCTATTGAGATTTAATCTTGCAGTCTTAATGGATATTCTGCCTGATGACTTTAATGTAAATTTTCTCGTGCAGACTGACTTTTTAGATATTATGTCTAGTAGTCTGAATGGATTCTATTGAGGTTCTGTTTTGAAGTATTTATGGATTCATGACTATTCTGTATTTTGTATGGAGATTCTATCTTATAGTATTAAAATTTTCTTTTGAGATTCTCTCTTGTAGTATCAATAGAGTCTTTTTAGATTCTGTCTTACAGTTTGACTGGATTATACCAAATTCTAAATGCAAATACAGCTTAGTGGATTCTGCATGGATTATGTCTATTAGTATTCATTACATATGGTCTTACTGCATTTTTTTTTTTAGATTATTCCATTTGGTCTTACTGCATTCTTTTGATAGTATCACATATGGTCTTACTGCATTCTTTTGAGATAATCCCATATGCTTTTACTGCATTCTTTTGAGATTGTCCCATGTGGTTTAACTGCATTTTATAGTGGCAATTATCTCTTTTGATCTTACTGATGTCCATGGTGATTCTCCCATGTAGTCTTAATGCATTCTGGGGAGATTCTTCCATCTAGTCTTATTACATTCTTTGGAGATTCTCCCATGTGGTCTTTCTGTACCTTATAATAGAGATTATCTCTTTTGATCTTACTGTTGTTCATGGTGATTCTCCAATGCGAGCTGACCTCAATCTTTGGAGATTCTCTCGTGGGGTCTTACTGTATTCTTTAAAGATTTTCCATTGTGGTCTTCCTGGATCTTTCGGAGATTCTCCCGTGTAGTTTAACTGGATTTTATAATGGAGATTATGTCTTTTGATTTTACTGCATTTCATGAAGATTTTTTCGTGTGGTCTTACTACACACTTTGTAGATTCTCCCATGTGTTCTTACTGAATTTTAAAATGGAGATTGTCCATTTTGGTTTATTCTGCATTCTAACAATATGCTCTCTCGGAGTTGAAATGAATATGGAAAAAGTTCTTACTGGAATCTGTGAAGAATCTGTCTTTAAGTCTTACAGGAATCGATTGCGTTTCTCTCTTGTATTATAAATGAATTCATGGAGATACTGTAATGTAGTATATTGTATTTTATGCAGATTTTATTGTGTTGTTAATATGCTGTTTCATTGTCACAACACATATCTTCTTTTATTCACAGTATATTCATATATGCTATGCCATATTTAATTCAATTTCACTTAACAGACGTTTTATTCTTGTACTATACAACAGACAGTGTAATTGCAGTTATGAACATATATATGACACAAATATTGCACTAATTAGGTACGATGCCAACTTCACTGCAGACGACTATTGTTTCTTGATTAACCTTCGTCATGTGCGCTTGTGGCCAAAAGTAAAAGAAGCCAAATACTATTTTATTCATAGACCTCCTTGTCCGCAAATGAATTATCATTACCATACTTCCCTTTTAATTGCACATGATCAACGCTTGAAAATAATAATGACAGATAATCCAATTATGGGCGTAAACCAGTGCGTTTCAAAAGATTAAAGTATCCATTGTCTCTGGTCCATCTAATGTGGAATCATAAACGGAAAAGATCAATTTCTCAAAAGGAAACAAAAGCAAAATTTTAAAATTATAGCTAACAATTATAGAGACAAAAATGATAAGAAGGGCTTTTCGTGCGTTTAATATTTTCATGTTTAACTGTATATCAAGTATCTTAAAGATACAATCTAAAATTATTTTGTTGGGTCGTTAGAGGTTTATTTGATCGTGTTAGTTTTGAATGTCTACACAATTTTATATTCTATAAAGATTAAAGTAATTCGGTGTATTAGCCATGCGTTAATCCTCCTTAGAATAGAACGAAGCTTGTAAAGGCTTAGTCTGTAAAATAGAACTCGAGGTGTATAATTATGCAAATAATTGTATAGTAACTTCTCTAGTGCAACCTTTTTCTTCTGCATTGAGCCTTTTTAGTTTTTTTTTTTGTAATATGATATTAGAAAAGACAAAGTGATTTTTTCTGGTGAAATAAAATTTCCATTGGATAAGGAATGTACCAAAAGTTATCATTAAATCATAAATCTTTTCCTCTCTTGGGATTTGATGGCTGGTATTTTCAAAATTAAGAGGTAAGTCACTTAATGCCATGCATGATTTTTTTGTTAATTTCAAGATTTACCAATTTTTACATGAAAAAAAACTGACGCTTGGAGGATAATTTAGATTGATACAAGGGATAAGTTCTTCCAGATGTCTACACTGACCAAAGTTGCTATTTATTTAACTGGAGAAAATAAAATGAAAAAAATAAACTTGAAATTGTGAAACTGCATTAAATACCTTAAAAGATTTTATACAGTTGTGAGCTTCTTTTTCATAATGAATATACATGTAAGTGTTATGAAATGAATACTTATTTGACAATGCTTCTGGTTCAGAAAAAAATATTTGGTTTTTCTTATAATTCATCTAGTTTAATTACAAATGTTTGCACTTCCTCACTTAATAAAATTTTCTATTGTACATTTAATATAGAATGAGAAAAAATGTAACAATATGAGATGTAAAAATCTGGTATCATATCTAGTAAGAATAAAACGAGATATGGAATAAATAGGTCAAGGAGAAAGTAACGCAAAAAAGGAGAAAGTTACGCAAAAAAATCAAAGACATCTTAAATTATTAACTTCCAAAAGAGTTAAAGGTGAAAAATCCGACCAAAAACATGCACAATCAATATACTCAACTGTACAATTTATGTATAATTAATTTATAAATCAGACAGCATTTTTTCTTTATTGGTTTAATGCTCACTCTGTCATTCTAGCAGCCATGAAATAAAAACATTATATAAATAACAAGTTTTCTTTTTGGAATGAAATCATCCCTAATACATTCCAAATAGGTCAACTTACCATGATATGTTCTGTATTTTTTGTTAATTTCACAGACTATTACGTTATCAGCAAGTGTCAAATCACACGCACTGGGACGACTTGTTCTGAATCTTAAATTAACATGACGGGTGTTGTATGTGGAACAGGATCTGCTTTCCCTTCCGGAGCACATGAGATCTCCCCCGTTTAGACGTGGGGTTCGTGTTTGCAGTCTTTAGTTTTCTATGTTGTGTTTTGTATACTGTTGTTTGTCTTTCGATTTTTGTCATGGCATTGTTAGTTTGTTTTCGACTTATGAGCTTGAATATCCATTTAGTATCTTTCGTCTCTCTTTGTACTAACACCATGCAACTATTGTCGAAATTACATATGTTTAAAAATGGTCAGTAGATAATGAAACCAACCTTTGGCAAACGAACATGTTACTTTCAGCATTTCATTATATTTCAATCTTGAAAATGTACATTATTGTACAGTTTCAATCAAAACAAAAACTTGATGATTTGATAATGTAATCAAAAGTAGACAGATTAGATAAATTAAATTGACAAATATTCGGTTGAACTTGTATCAATCATATAAGTTGTGAATTCTAGTGATAGTATCGTAAGTTAGGTTAAGCTTATATTTTCATCTCTATTTTACACCCTCATATAATAAAAGTATCAAATTCTGGCAGCTCTTTCCTACTACAATATAAGGAAATTAGTTTCACTTCTTCATCGGACATATAATGCTATCAAAATTATCTTTTTTTTTAATTGTCTTCTTATATCATACATCTTACTATCGGGTTCATGTCGGACGAAAAGCACAATTATTTTCGTATAGATTGAAAGAAAACACAGAATGAAAGCCAAGGAGTGTTGCCTAAAAACTCTTTTTTGAAATTATCCTCTACCAAATAATTAAAGAAAATTCGGTAGCTTTATAATACAAAATATGAAGATCGAACTTTGAATTTACATGATTTTAGTGTAAAAACTACAGATTCTAATATTTATTTTTGAAATCTGCAACACTGATTTTGTGTTCTTTCAAAGCGATGCTCTCTAGGTTGAAACATAGAGCTTAGCATGAGATGATGTCTGACTCCACGTATCAATGCTGTTAAACAAAAATATCTGTACTTGCAATATAAAGTATTTACATTGTTTAAAAGACAAAGGATATACAAAGGTCTATTTGCTATTTTGAATCAGATAGGAAGTTTTTATTTTCATAAGGTTAAACTTTCAGATCTTGTCTCTTTGTGCCAATGCCGTACCTAACACCGTCGTAAAAAGATTGAACATTCAACTAATTGCTCTGATAATTTACAAATGTATCTGTCCATATAACCTGTGAGATATGTTAAATGCAGGATTATGTTTGCCAAAGACAACATAATAAGAAATCTGATATAGCAATTTAATTTGGTAATTGTTATGTAAAACTGAAAACGGAAACTTTTTTTCGACATGCATGTTTTTGAAAGCGAAAAGTCTCCCTGAATATGGGCGTGTCTTTGTATGTGCATCAATGAATTTCCTTTTAAACTTTATACAAAATTAATGACTTTTTAAAGTAATATGAATAATACACTTTCGTAAGAAGATTTAAAATTAGCCGACAGAAACTTGGGGAAGAGATTGAACATATTTCTAAAATTAGCGCCAAAGTCAAACTAATTACAATCAGGCGCGTAGCTCCCTATACGCCAACACGCAGTTGCGTGCACATCGGCATGCTGAAAAAAAATATTTACGATTTTCAGCATTCTATGTTAGAGTTTATAAAACGTAAAACATTTCTATTTTTAAAATTCGGGTTTAGCTAGCCTAACCTATTTGTCATCATTAAACGATAGTCGTTCGTCCAACCGTCTGTGAACTTAAAACGCATTTTATTACAAGTATGAATACACTGATGGCATTTTTACTTTAATGATGTCCATTTGTCCTAACGGCATTTTTCTTATTATACCCCCGCCGTACGGCGACGGGGCCTTTAAGCTTTACCCATGTATGTCAATACACCCATTCGAAATTGGTTTCCGCTCTCTTACTTTAGTTTGCATCCACCAAATTTTACGAAACTTATACACAATGCTTATCAATACAAAACACAGATCAAGTTCGAATTTGGGTACCGTCACTTTTGTCATTCAAGAATTATACTCCTTTTTAACCGAAAAAAAAAATGCGGAAATCGGTTTCCGTTCTTTAACTTCAGCAGTCTGTGCCAAACTGTTTGAGAGTTTGTCTGACTGAAAATGAAATTTGACCTTTTCTACTATATATATATTTTCAACTAAAAAATCTAAAAATTTCTGTCTGACCAAATGAATTTTTGTCTGACATTTTGTCGGTCAGACTGAGTTTGGGATACACTGCTTCAGTTTGCCTCAACCAAATGTTTTGAAACTTATACACATGCTAAGTACCGACAAACACAGGTCAAGTTCGATTTGCAGCCAGATCCAATATATGGTTTTCGAGTTAGGCCAGCAGGGGCGTCCGTGTCCTTCAGACACATTCTTCTTTTATTTTTGGTCTTTAATTTCATGGATTTAGTATCATAAAAAGTATGATTCGCATCAATCGGGAGGTCGCTCGATGGCGAACACGCAGGTGTAAAACACCTCGCGATCAGATGCCAACTTTGCTGTGTGAGACACTCGATGCGGTAAGCCCATTGGTGTATCCTTCTGTAGATACTATTTTGAGTATTATGTTGACAATGCCGGTAACAAGTGTTATAGCGGACGAGATCGTTTGAGTGTACTACGTCGGTTGAAAACATATGTACGATCAACTATGAATAACGAAAGGTTATCATCCTTAGCATTAATGCATATTTATCGGGATTTCAGTGTGAATATTGACAAAGTAATGGAGAAGTTCGTTTCTGCTAAGACCCGAAGAGCAGATTTTGGACAATTTTGAGTAAATTCTGTCTCACAAAAATGTGTTGCTTATGTATTCAATTTACCATGATTTACCCTATTCAAAAGAATTCCGAATAGTTTTGGATTCATGAATTGTCTATAAGTCCTATGTAGCACCTCTTTTAACCCTCCGAAAACCGAAAAAAAATATCATTTTCTGCATAAAATGGTCCAAACAAATTTTTCACCTCGCTCCGCTCGGCGGTAGATAAGCATGCACATCAATTTAGCTACGCCCCTGACAATCCTTTATTTACCCGCCATAATCGGGGCCATATATGTCAATAGCATTCAGTCTAATAGAATACTTTTTGGAGCTGTTTATGTCAATGGTACTCAGTCAAAGTAGGATACTTACTGTGCTCGTAGAAAATTAACTTTGAGATGACACCTACTGGTTTTCCATTTCTATTTTGCAATAAAGGGACCATCTTCCTGGATCTCTAGGTGTCATTATCATTTCATCATTACATGAAATAGAAGGTTGAATTTTTAAGCTAATCTTTAATTTCAATGTTAGTCTTATAATGTTGCCATTTTTAATAACTAGTTAATTAAGAAAAGATTTCTTTCTAGATAATGAAAATGAAAGAAAAAATTTAATAGATTCCATCGTATTAAAGAAATTATCTTTTACAAAGAAAACACGAATGGTTATTATTGCATGTTGTGTAATGACTCGAGCTTCATTAATGTTATTTGTAAATGTATCTATTAAATAACCTTGAAATTTAGTTAATTAGGATAGATCACCTTGAAAAAAAACGAGCAATGAAATATATTCAATTTTAAGTTTTACGGACGTCAGAAATACAATTACGCGCACTCTAAATATTATAAATCCACAAAGTGCTTGCGCAAGCTCTGATTGTTTTGTCTAATGATTTAGAAGGCTTGCAATCTTACACAGTAATATCGTCCAACAGCATATGAAATTTAAGGTTGACTTTTCAAGCTAATTTATAACTTCAATGTTAATAATATAATGATACCATTTTTAATACTATGTTAAGAAAAGATTTTTTTTTAAAAAAGACTTTGTAAAAAAATTGTTTTTTATTAAAGAAATTGCACTTTACACTGAAAAAATTATTGTTAATTATCGCATGTTTTTGTGTTATAACTCATTGAATCGAACAGCAATAATGCACAATTTGTAAATATATCTATTAAATTACCCTGAAAATTACTTAATTAGGATAGATCAATTTCAAAAAATTGTATGAATTCCAAAACTAATATTCCTTCATTTTTTATTTATTACGTATGTGTTATAAATCGGAACAGTTCTTAATGATGCAAG